CACCCCACAAGTCGGGCAGAGACACACTCATCCCAGAGCTGGACAAGAGGGAGGGCTCCCTCTGGGGTCAGTCTCCCTAAACTGGACTTCCTGGGTAGATAAGCTTTCTAAGAAGGGAGCCAATGGAGTATGGTGGTTTAGGGTGCAGGCTCAGAGTCAAGACTGGGTTAAAATTGAAGCTCTGATCTTGGAGATTTGCTTAACCTGCCTTTGACTTAGTTTCCCCACCTGTAATATGGGGATAATAGGTTTATTGTGAAAATTCAATGTGATACTGTCTGTAAGCACATAGCACATTATCTAGCACACAGTGAGTGCTCGATCACTGGTAGCCAGGGGTATTAGTGATGTTAAGCGTTATTAACCTTGAGGCCCTAGTCTTGTGGCTCACTGGCTCTGCAGGCCTTCCCCCAACCCCCTCCACATAGACACACACACACCCCACCAGGAAGGAGCAGGGACACACACACACTCACACCACCACCAAGAAGGAGCAGGGAAGGGGAGGGAGGGACTCCAGGAATGCTGGGGGAAGGGTGGCCTTCTTGGAGGGTTCAGATTTCCTTCCTACCCTGGGCTTCTCTGTCAGCTCAATAACAGTTCCCAAGGAGCAGGCCGGGCTTTGGCATCTCCTGGGTGAGGTCCTAGCCTGAGGAAGGGGAAGAGTGCAGTGCCCCCTCCTCTCCCAAGGAGCTTGGATCTCTTGGTCCCAAAGGCAGTTGCAATAAATCCCCTCCGCAGAGGGTCATGATGGGGCTAAGCAGCCTTTTTCCTCCCTAAGCCATTGGACCTAATTCTCCCTCCCTTGGGCCTCAGTTTCACTGTCTGTGGCCTGTGGGAAGAGAGTGCTTCCTGCCTCACAGTCTCCATGGCAACCAGATCGATGACAGTGGTGGTGTCCTCCTAACAGGAGAGGTCACTGCCTTCTCCCTGCCCTTATATTCTCATACAATGCCGTGCTGATACAATGACACAACCATAGACCCTTACTCCAAATTATATGAGACACCCATGCCTAATACACTTCAGACTCACATCCCACAGCCCTACTAAAACACAGAAACCTCACTCCCCATACACACTCAGAAATACTCTGACACACTCTCTTACATGTGTACTATCGACACGCAGGTCACATACGCATATACACACAGGAGTAGAAATGCATAAGCGTGCACAAAACACACACCTCTGTGACAGTGCACAATCACGTGTAAACACACATGGAGACACACACAAGAAGAGACCCACGTACTCCCATACCAGCAAACACAGGAATATACACGCAGTAAAACACTAGACACCCGTAACGCATTCTGATCCATCCACCTATTACTTGTACGTGTGCCGATATGGTTTCTCACACGCACCTTGCCCTTCTGCCTTCGCCCTAAGCACAGCTCCTCCCTCTGCCCCCTCCCTTTGGCACAGAGTGGCCACAGGATGTCTGGGGGATAGTGCTCCTCAGGGACAGAGACAGGTCACTGCCTCCCTCCTCTAGCTCATGTCCTATCCTGCTCTGGTCCATATCCTTTGCACCTGCACCAAAGGCTCTCGAGGAGGTGCCAGTCCAAAGGCTGAGGTGGCCCCACGACGAGGAAGAGGCGGCGGCTGTGGCCGGGAGGCATGTGGGGCAGAGGCGGGGTGAGGGGGGAGAGGGAGGAGATGGAGGGAGGGAGGAGATGCAGGGAGGCCGCGGGCAGTCCTACTCAGGCTGGGGAGCCTGAGGGGGAGGTGGTGTGAGGCAGCCGGCCAGTGGCCCTATCAGAGCCTCAGCTGGGTGGGGGCCATGCCCCGGGCCCACCATGAACCTGGAAGGGCTGGAGATGGTCGCCGTGCTCGTAGTGCTCGCTCTGTTTGTCAAGGTCCTGGAGCAGTTTGGCCTCTTTGAGCCTGTCTCCTTGGAAGGTAACCCAGGTGTCTGGGCATGTCTGAGCTGCTGCTGGCTGGAGGGTCAGCTGTGCCTGCAGCAGCGTTGGGGAGGGGGTTGCTCCATCTTCATGCCTGTGGGCAGGGGTGAGCAGGTGAGTGATGGGATAGGCATGGGGGGAGGTGAGGAGGGGTGCTTGGAGAATACACACTTGGGAGAGATAAAGGGGGGCCTCAAGGAGTAGATATGGGGAGGGGAGAAGGGAATCTGGGGAACAGGGTGTTGGGAGTTGATGAGGGTTGCAGTGTGGGGAGGACTGGGGCATGGAGATGAGGAGGTAAGGAGACTCTGGGGATACCAGGAAGGGTCCGGAGACAGGCAGGGGTGTCTGGAGTAGAGGAGGAGGTTCCAGCGATCTGAGAAAACACCAGATTTCTGAGGAGTCCCTTTTGGAGCCAGGGGCTCACAACAGCTCTGGAAATGTGTGTGACTCTCCACACCTCCAAGTGTGCAGCGCAGGTTAAGGGGTGTGTGTGGACTCGGTGTGTGAGAGACACAGGGTGGGACTGTATGTTCATGTGTGTGAGAGAGAACAAAGTATGTGACTATGTGAGCTTGTGTATGTGACAGGGATGTGACTGTGTGTGTCAGAGTGACAAGACATGTGGCTTTGTGAGGTGGTGGATGTGACTGTGCCCAAGCGGGACAGGGTACGTGGCTGAGCCTCTTTGAGTATCCGGTTTTGTGTATGGCTGTTTCCAGACTTTCCTGAGGATATACAAGCTCCGTACCCAAGGCTTGGGATGGGGGTGGGTTCTGGAGGGACAGGAGTGGGAACACTGTGGTGAGACATTTACAGCTCAGCTCTGGCTGGGGGGTGAGGAGTGGATCAGATCAGGGACCCTGCTTCCCAAGCCGCCTTGCCTCTCCAGGCTGCTCTGAGGATCCGGGGGCAGAATGGGCGCCAGGGCCTAGACGCTGGGAACGGGAAATCAATTCCCCACCCTATCCTAAAGTCATTAGGGACAGTGATTTGTAGGTGGAGAGGGAAACACTTCTGCCACCCCCTCGAGAGTTTTGACCTGCCCCTCGTCTTCACACCAAGAACCGTGCAGTTCCACGGCATGGCTATTCCCCAGTTCCACCAGGGACAGGAAGACAGGCAGGAACCATGATAGGACTACAGGGTAGACACCTGGGAGAGCTGGAAAGAGGTGAAGAAAGTTGGGGATAGGAGGAAAGTCCATGAATTGCCTGTTCTAGGGTTCAGTAAGAGCAGAAAACTCCTAACTCACACTCTGCCCTCTATGCTGCGTTTATTGGGGTGAAGTGGGGAACAGGGAGTTAGACCTAAATGAACTGGGTAGGCTGGGCTGAGGTGGTTCTTATCCAGTCTGGAAAAGATGAAGTCATTTGGGCTCTAACTTGCCATCCCCTTTAGACTTTTGGTGGGAAAAGGGGCCATCTGGGAAACCCAGGTGACCTGTCTGCTGAAGGCAGCCTCTTCCCACCTTTAGTGGAGCCTAGAGGAAACAGAGACTTGGGAACAGGCAGGGGGCTTGCCGGGCAGGTGGGAAGTGGGAGAGCCACCCCCCAGTCAGGTGACCACACCAATGGAGGCAGGCACAATCCGGCTTCAGGAAACCAAAGTCTGGGCTAATGGAGCCCTGGGCGGGAGGCCAGGCCACCATCGATCCCCCGGCCTCTCCATAGCTCCTGGCGTGGGAGGGTGGTGAGGACGTGTTGGAGGGGAGGCAATTACCTCCTGGGAACAGGGCCTGGTCCTGAGGGTCAAGCCTGGTTTGGGAGGGCCAGGCGGGGGCTGGGGGGTGGAGTGGGGGGTAACCTATAACCAAAAAAAGTTGGGCCCCTCCAAGAATTGACTGAGGCCAACTTTAGCCAGTGTAGCAGGTCCAGTGGGCTCTGGCCCAGGAATCTGGGGGTGAATGCAGCATAGAGACAGAGACACACACAGACACAAATTTGTGCCCCAGGACTAAAGGTCCTCCTGGAGTGCAATTAAAGCTATAGGACATGTGCAGAAATAAGGGGCGGAGAGGAAGGCCATGATCAATGGGCCCTAAATAGCCCCATAACACACCAAAAATATTCATCTCCACCTCCAAGATCTGTTATTGCGTCATCACTTTGTATCATTTACTTTCAAAAAGCAAGCCATCCTGGAAAGGACTGGGAAAGAGCCACAGTTTAGGGTAGATGAGTAGCTGATGAGGAACCCTACTCTTTGGCAGGAAGATTCTGGATACCCTGGAATCAGGGATTACAGGAAAGAAAAGTGGACGTACCCAGGAAACATGAAGCCTCTGTGGGTGAGGTAGAACCATAGATATCTGGGTGCCATGGGGACCTAGGTCACAGTATGACATGGGTATGTGTCATGCAATCTTAATATGTGTCATAATGTTTATAAGGTCACAATGTGTCATAGTGTTTTAACACACAGTGTCATGACGTCCCAGGGTCATTGTGTGTTCTGTGGATTGATCATGCTGTGTGTGAGATGGCCTATATGGGTCTCCATATGTGCGCCAGGTTTTACTTCGGATCACATTTGTGTATTTGTATTAAGGAGTACTTAGTCAAATGTGTGTTTATCTGTTTGTGTGTGTTGGAGCATGTTTCTTAGGCCTGCGGGTGTGAGTTGCTGGATATCTAGCTGTCACTGTCATCCATCACTCTGTGATTTATCATTCCACAGGTCACTATACATGGCTGTCACTGTGTGTGTGTGTGAGAGGTGTTCCTACCCAGGCAATCCTTGGGTTGGTCATCACCCTGAGAGGTCCAGCCATGGCAGTTGAGCCAAGGGCACTGGGTCAGCAAAGATACTTGAGGCCCTGCCACCTCCTCCTTGCACCTCACTGTCATCAACCACATCCCACTGTACAAAGTGCCTGACCCCTGCCTCTATGGACTTTCCATGCTGTGAGACCCACTGGATCCTCTAACCCAGCCCCCAGCTACCCTGGCCATTCCTTTCCTCCCCTCACCCCATTCCTCTCCCAGCCCCCGGCCGCAGCTTGGGTTGATTGTGACTGTCGGGGAGGGGACAGGGAATGGAGGCACAGTGGGAGTTAATGTGCCTTCCTGGGATCTTCTCTCTTACCAGGCCACCCTCCAGGGCCCACTAAAAAAGCGCTGAAGCAGCGGTTCCTCAAGCTGCTGCCGTGCTGCGGGCCCCAAGCCCTGCCCTCAGTCAGTGAAAGCAAGTGCCTCTCCTGTGCTTCCGGGGGCGGGGCCCGAATGTGTGTGGGCGTGACCGGTGTGGCGGGTGTGGGGGCGGGCACTGGCTGGGCCCGAGTGTGAGGGGGCGTGGCTATGTGCGCGGAACGAGCAGGTACGTGTGGGCGTGGTCAGTTGGGGCGTGGCCAGAGTGCCTGTGGGCGTCACCAGTCTGCGCAATAGGGCAGGACCAGGGTGTTTGGGCGTGGCCAGTGTGGCAGGACTGAGGCCCGAGCTTGAGTGGCTGTGGCCAATGTGGCGGTGGCGGGACCGGGCGGCTGTGAGGGTCTATGAGTGGCTGAGCTGAGTTAGTGTCTATGTCTCTGTGTGGCCGTCCCGCCCTTGGTACGTTTTGGGGCTCTAGATGTATGTCGCCCGTGCCCTGACAGGATGGTTTGCAGGTATAGAGGATGGAGCCCGCCTTCCTCCAGACGCCAGGATACTTGGGTTTTCTGTCACTGCCTGGTCCCCAGCTGAGTGACCTGGAGTTGAGCGACCTCGCTTTGTCTCTAGATATCCGTGTCCTCAGTAGGGCCTCGCCCATCTCATAGGATTATACTGCATTTTGCAAGCTATAAAGGCCCGTTTTGTAGTTACTTGAGCGTGCTGTTGTGTTTGATTTCCACGGGTCCCACACGGGGGTGGATTTGGAATAAAGAGAGGCGTGAGTCCTGCAAGCTTGGGTGCGTGGGGTCCATTTCGTGTTTATGTCTGTGTTCGTTAGGTGTGCCTTTGAGCGGGGGCCGGGGTGTGAGCATTGTAACACACAGGTCTGTGAGATTTGCTGTGAGTGTGAGGGGCGAGGTGTGTGTCTGCAGTTGGCCCGGTCTTCCGCTTTCTCGGTGACAGTTCGCTCCCTTCAGAATTAGCCGCCCCAGCCTCCCTCCGCCCCCACAGACCCCGCCCGCTGGACCCAGGTGACTTACTCTCCTGGTGGGGGCGGGGGGCGGGGTGGGGGTGGGGCTTCGGGAGCGCGGGTGGGGGCACTTGCCTGGGGGCTGGACGTTGGGGGCTGGGGTGGGACTGAGATGGGGCCGGGGGTGGGACCAGGGGTCGGGTCTGGATGGATGTCGGCTGAAGCTGGGCGGGGCATGGCTCTGGCATGGCTGGGATTGACCGGGCTTGGCTGGGAGAGGGGAAGAAAAGGAAGGGGCAAGGCCAGGGCTGAGTGGATCTGAGTTGGTCAACGAAGGCCCGGAGCTCTGACCCTCAGACACCCACTCGAACCGGCTTTTCCCACTCCTCCTTTTCTGGGACGAAGATGTGGCTGAGGGCCTTCCCCTCCAACCAGGGATCAAGGGCCCTGGGGCAAGCTCTGAGTTGGATCCCTGGCTCTGGGGCCAGGACTGGCCTTGGCCCGCTGATAGAACTGGAAGCTGACCAGCGCCTTCTCTACTTGCCGCGATGTCCTCGGCTCAGGGTCCAGAGAACTGGCAGGCTGGTCTCCGGTGCTGGAGATGGGACGGGGAGGAGGGTATACGGATCAGTGATTCTGAAGAGGGGTAGCAGGGGCCTGAGGCGCGGCTGTCCCCCTCACCGCTCCCCGCAGACAGCGTGGAGGATGAGTTTGAACTGTCCACCGTGTGTCACCGGCCTGAGGGTCTGGAGCAGCTGCAGGAGCAAACCAAGTTCACCCGCAAGGAGTTGCAGGTCCTGTACCGAGGCTTCAAGAACGTGAGTGCATGGTGAGGCCAAACTGAGCCAGGGTTGGGACAGCAAGGGCAGGGCCTATCCAGAAAGCATGGCCTGGATACCAGTGAGACTGAAGGCAGATGGAGCCTCAGACCGAACTTCTAGCCTTTTTTTAGCTCCGTGTTTTTTATTTGTGCTCTGGGGAAGAAGTCTTGGCTCCCATCACTAGAGCTGGTGAGTCCCTGGAGGCTTGAAAAGTTTCCCTCTTTCTCTGGGAGTCTCTGGCCATGGAGTGGGGGGGCCAGTGAGCAGAAGGGGGTTTTGTCTCTGCCCTCATCCTGATTCCCCTCCCCTCCCAGGAATGCCCCAGCGGAATTGTCAGTGAGGAGAACTTCAAGCAGATTTACTCCCAGTTCTTTCCTCAAGGAGGTGAGGGGACAAGTCCCAAGGGGAAGGAGCCATCCATCTCTAGGCTGAGTGGGAGAGAGGGTTCCGGAGGGCTGGAAATGCCAAAGTGATGAGGGAGTTGGGGGAGCTCCATAGAGGTAGGAAGTCCTCTCCTGTCTGGAAGCCAAGCTTACTTCTCCACACTCATCCTACAGACTCCAGCACCTATGCCGCTTTTCTCTTCAATGCCTTTGACACTAACCATGATGGCTCGGTCAGTTTTGAGGTAAGCTGGGGGGAGGTGGGCCAGGGAACCCTGTTTCCTGGGACTTCAGGGCCAGGATCTCCAGTTCAAACCCAAAGAAAGGGTTGGGTGAAGGGTATCTGAAGACACAGCTACCCCTGCCTCCTTTCTAGGACTTTGTGGCTGGTTTGTCGGTTATTCTTCGGGGAACGGTAGATGACAGGCTGAATTGGGCCTTCAACCTGTATGACCTCAACAAGGACGGCTGTATCACCAAGGAGGTGCAGGGCAACTGAAGGGCTGGGGGGTTGTGGGAGTGGGGGAGATGCAAAGGGCCATGGGAGGGAAACATGACCCACACATGCACCACCAGCAAGGGGTGTGGTCTGCCCTAGGCCCTAGGCCTCTTTGTCTGGAGGCTGGAGGCTCTGAGGAGGGATCCTCTTCTTTCTTGGCCTAACAGGAAATGCTTGACATCATGAAGTCCATCTATGACATGATGGGCAAGTACACGTACCCAGCACTCCGGGAGGAGGCCCCAAGGGAACACGTGGAGAACTTCTTCCAGGTGCATGGGACTGGGTAGGCTGGAGGGCCCTGGTGTGAAGGGAAGGAGATCAAGAATGAGCAGGGAACTTAACCTGAGGTCTGCCTTCCTCTCTCTTGCCCTCTCTTCTGTTCTCCCTGCCTGACTACCTTCTTGCAGAAGATGGACAGAAACAAGGATGGTGTGGTGACCATTGAGGAATTCATTGAGTCTTGCCAAAAGGTACAGGTTTCTGCCCTCTGCATTACCCTGGTTTGGACTCAGTGATGTAGGGAAGGGCTCCTTTGGGTAGAGTACTGCCTCCCTAACTCACCCCTCCACCCCAATTTTGTTTCTTTGGGGGAGGCTTACCCCTTCCCACCTCAGGTCTCTCTGGGTATCTCCTTCCTCTCTGCCTCTGAATGTCCCCAACTTTGACTCAGTGTCCCTTTCCCTGTCTCTGACAAGTTCTTTCTCTTTCTCTCTCTCCAATCTGCCTCTGTCACACCATGGCCACAGGATGAGAACATCATGAGGTCCATGCAGCTCTTTGACAATGTCATCTAGCTCCCCAGGAGAGGGGGTCAGTGTGTCTTGGGGAGAACATGTTCTAGCCCTAGTCCAGGCAGACCTTACCCTTCTCTTCCCAGGTTTGTCCTCATCCTGGCCCTACCCTAGAGGCTGTAGGGATTCAAGAGCCTGGGGATTCAGTAGTCTAGATCCCTGGAGCTGAGGGGGCTAGAGAACAGGCAGAGTGGGAGCTACAGTGGCCCAATCGGTTAGCACGGTACTTATATGAGAGTGGGCAGAGTACATTGGGGGTGTCCCCAACTCCCAACAGCTCTCACCCCCTCCCTGCCTCATACTCAGTGCTGAGAGTGCCCTTGCTATAAGAATTGGGTGGTTCCCCACCTCCCACCCCCACTTTAGAAACCACAACACTAGACAGAATGTCTCCTGCTATGGTGCTCCCCCATCCCTGATCTCATAAACATTTCCCCTAAGACTCCCTGCTCAAAGAGGATTCTCTGTCCTTGGCACTGGCTGGCTTTTCAGACCAGCCTTTGAGAGCCCTGTGAGAGGGGGACAAGAATGTAGAGGGAGAAATCTTGGGCCTGAGTCAGTGGTTAGGTCCTAGGAAGTGGCTGGGGTAGAGAACAGAAAAGCATAGGCAGTTCTGGGACAACGTTTCATTTGAAAAGAAAAAGGAAAAAAAAAAAAAGAGAGAGAGAGAAAGGCATGGGTAGATTGTGACAGCTCAGGCATGCCAGGCTATAGCTCCAAGTTCCCCAGGGCTGCTACCCCAGGCCATCAAAATATGAGTTTCCAGGCTTTTCAGAAGACCTTGACTCCTGGGAAATGCCCTAGAAATTTTCCATACCCTCCTCAGTGTCCAAAGAGAGCCTGGGATCCAGATATCTGGCTCATCCCTAGAATAATTCCTTTTTCTCCCTCCTTCCTGCATGTGTTGGTGGTAGTCATGGCCAGGGAATAGGGCTAGAAGATGCCCTGGCTGATGCCTGCTAAAGTTTCAAACTACCCTCCCTGCTCATCACCTGTTTTGATGGCTATGACTTGAGTTTTCATTTGCTACGTTCTCTAGACTTAGAAGCATGGGGTGAGTTAGGCACCTTTCTAAACTGGGTCCTACCATTCTCCCCAGTGGATACCTTAGACGGAAAAACAAGAAGGGAGACAGGTATAGCATCTGAACCCAGTGTGGACATTCATTAGAATCTTCCATCAACCCAGGCTCTACCCCAGCCTCTCACATAACTTCCTCAATTCCCTAGGGTCTCCTCTTGCTCTACTCAGTCAACCCAGAGATGCCCCTGAACACACTAGAGGGCGGGGACCGTAGGACCCAGGTTCCACCTCATTGTCCACACCCCTGCCATGCTGCCACCCTTAACATATCTGCTTGTCCCACTCAGCTCACCTTCCTAGACAGCCAGAATCTGAGGGGAAGGGCCCCCAGGAAGCCCCTTTTCCCATGAGAACACTGTTGACTGCTTTGCATTTTTGGCTCTTCTGTATATTTTATAAAATAAGAAATATACCGGATCCAATAAAACACAATGGCTATGCATAGGCTGCTGTCTCTTTTTGTCCCTTCCACCCCATAAATACCACAGAACCCCTAACTCATGCACCTGCAGTGTTTTAGATCCCCAAGAAGGTGCCTTTTCCATGGTCTGGTCATACCTTGGTAAGAAACCGAGATACAGGTTCTGGAACGGTTGGAAACCCACCTCACCTCAGGCTCACGCATGAATCTCCTTCCCACGTCCTGAGAGGAGACAAGGAAGGACAGGACGCCGATGTCCTGAAGACTATGCCAAGAAAGCTGTCTTTTGGCAGATATTCTAACAAGATGAATCAAGAATTTCTAATTTCCAGACTTCTTAATGAATCTCAAAGTGTTTTCTTTTGAGGGGAAGTTCCATTTAATTTCTAATGAAAGTTCCTTTGTGTAAACATCCCAACCTTGCCTCCTGTATACATTTGTGTCTCTGTGCCCAGCCAGGAATGATGGGGGAATCAGATGGAGTGGACCAAGGGCAGGTTACTATGGGACAGGTGGCACAAAGGGTGATAGAGACTTCCTGTGTGTTCCCATCCTTTTTCGTTCTGCTCCCGAAGAGGGGCCACCAGTGGTAGGTTCCTTCCATCCTTTCTCTGGGGGACCATTATGTGGTGACTAAGCTTTAGTCCATAGGAGGAGGATCAGGCCTTCTCCTCCCTCACTGTACACATTGACAAGGTCAAGGAAGGGGTATGGTATCCAAGAAGCAAAAACTCACTTTCAGAGTCCATTGTTTGTCATTTGTGTTCCCTGCTAATATCATCACAGAACTATCTGCTCCTTGGGTCCTTGGGTTTCTTTGGGTCATCAGATTAAAGATCTGATGAAAGCTGTGGGCCTACTCTCCAGAAGGAAAAAAAATGCAATATTTCCCCATGTATTTTTATATCTCTGAAGCATCTATGGGTCCTAAGTTAAGTACCCATGGTCTGTTTTACCCCTCAGCCTTCCATTTTACAGAAGAAGAAACAGGCTCAGTGAAGGGAGAGAACCTGCTCAGGGTCACCCAGTGAGTTTGTAGCAGGATGGAGACTAGACCCAGTGCCCCAAGTCTCTGTCAAGGGCCTCGGGGCACAGTAACGATTTGTGTGTGAAGGATGGATGCTACTACGCATGTCATGCATAAAATAAGAAGGTGACACTGTGACAGGCTCTCATGGTATCCTCTGCTTTTCCTTCCTGGCACTTCTCAGTTTGTAATCATATATGTATTTATTTGAGTAATTATTTGTTTGTTTTCTCCAACACGCTGAGTTCCTGAGGGCTCTTTGAGTGCCTGGGCTAGGTTGTTTTCCCCTCACCATCTTATCTTCAGGGCCTGGCACATAATAGGTATTCAGTAAATATTTGTATTATTGTATGGATGAGCACAGTGAGTGTATGTATATAACTGGGTCAGGTATGGAGACAGTCTCCATTTTTAAGAGTAGATCCAAGTTTAGGGGAAATTGAAGTCTGAAGCAAGGAATTGCTAGTGAAGTGAGAAGTGCCCCAGAGCCAGGGCACACAGATGGGATCCAGAAAAAACCAGCAGGTTGACATTCAGATCATTTTGTCTCAGCCATTGAGTGAGTTCTGAATGTTGTCAGCTGCTCCATCCCAACATACACTCCTTTCTTGCCTTCTAGTATTTCGTACCCTCCTGGTTTTCCTCCTACCTTTCTGACCACCCCTTCTCAGCCCTCCCTTGTCAATTTGAATTCTAAGTCTTGGCCCCATAGCTTTTCCAAATCTCCCTCAATCCAGTGGCTTTAAACATAGGATTTGCAGATGCTCCTAAGTTTATATCCCCAGAACTCTCTTCTGATATCCAACACCTACATATCCAATTATCTCTTCAACACTTTCACATGGACCTGTAATGGTCTAACTTAACATGTTCAAAATAGAGCTTAGGTTCATGCCTTCCAAGTCTTCCCCATCTTAAGTAAATGATACCTAGTTACTGAGGTCAAAATTTAAGAGTCTTCATTTCTTCCTCTCCCTAATTCTCCCCCCACCCCCATTTAATCAATCACCAATCCATTCACCAAAGATACACCACCTCTCTCTGTCTCTGATGCTGTTCCCTAGTCCAAGCCACTGTCATTGCTCACCTAGAGTACTACTTCCTATTTGTCCATTTCAAGAAAACCCTCCTTGCTGCAGTTACTATTTATCACATCGCTAGGTTTCCTCTCTTCAGAGCACTTATCATAAACTGAGTTCCTGTGTACATACTGCATTTATTACTGTCTGTTTCTCCAAACAGAATGTAAAATCTGTGAGGGGATGAAGCTCATTAATTCCACAAATATTTATCATAGGCCTATTAAGCATGTTCATGTTGTAGGTGCTGAGCGGGGTAGAAGGGAGAGGTGTGGTATGGAGGGAAAGTGTATAGCAATCATGTGGCAAGAACCACACCTCCAGTTTGAGAAATACAGATATGGAAGGTTGATCTTGCCTGGGCCCCAGGCCTCGGAGTCTGGACAGTGGAGAATAGATGAAGTTGTGGCTGTTGACTTGCTGGCAGTTGCCATGGTGTGAGGTGTGGGACAAAGAGGCAAATATGAGACTAAGGGCTGGCATCAGCCAAAATGACAGCCCCCAAATCCCCAGGGACTACAATATCCAGTGAAGTTGCTTATGGCCCCCAACTGTCAGCACAGGAGTTTCCCTCAGAAAATGCTTGCTCCTAACCCCTACCTCAACAATCCAGGACTGAAAAGAAGAGGGACTGTAAGAGTCCCTGGAGCTACAAGTTGGGCTGTGGTTAGAGGAATCACATATCACACTGAAGTGTAAGATGGACAGTACTGAGTCTTAATAACCAGAAGGAGACTGAGATGCTAATTTCACATGATACCTCACAAGCTGAGACAACATTTCTCAACCAACATAAATGTACAATGATTATTATAGGACTACAGGGAGCTCTGAGAACATATAGCAAGGGGACCCAAACCCATCAAGGGCTCAGGGAAGGGTTCCCAAGGAAATGATATTTATGCGGAGACCCAAGGGATCTCAGGCCCCCTTACACTGCTTCACATTCCCAAACAAGCCAGGCTTTTCACCCCTTTCTACCTTTGTACTCTGTTGTTTCACTTTCCCGGAGTTCTGTCTTCCCTTACTACTTACTCAGTCAGGCTAACTTCTACTTATCCTTTATGATCCAGTTGAAAAGTGAAGCCATGGCCACAACCTCTCCCCAAAGTAAGTTAGTCATTACCTCTTCTGAGCTCCCAAAACACCCGGGTACACCTTGTGGGAATTGTGTGTGCGTGCTTGCTTGTCTCCACCACCGCACCGTGAGCTCACAGTGGCCCTACATCCCAGCACAAGGCAAGCTCAATAGGTGTCTACTGAATGAAGGAATGAACGAATGATTTCATACTTAAATAGAGTTAGGGAAAATAATACAAGGCAGAGGGTTGAGCTGAGCTCCTTGGAATGATGTCTTCACGGAACTCAACCTGGCTCAGGCAGATGTAATGAGCCAACCTATTACAAGAATCTTCATAGAAAGTAGGTCAGTTCCTTCCTATCTCTTTAAGAACCAGTGGCTTCGTTTCCGCGCCTGCGCATTGAGAGAGTAAACACCGCTCCTTTTTACCCTCCCCCCTTCTCCCGATTGCCCCAACCAGCTGCAGCCTCCTCCCATACTCCCCTCCTTCAGGTGGGGTAATGGTCCGTCCCAGGGTGCCGGGCCTGTTCTGGAGGGTGGCAAGCATAAATGGTATATTCCACTGCCTTCATGACCTTCCAGCTTTCCGCGTCTCCTCTGTTCTGTTTCCCCCTACCGAATGAAGCCTAGTAGGCTGGCCCCAAAGAAGGCGGGGGAGCCGGGCGGAGGGGACCGGTCTGAGCCGGTCTGCAGCGCAGGCGCAGTGCGGATAAACAGGAAGCGGGCGGTAGAGGCAGCGGCAGAGAGGAGACAGGAGCTTGGAGGGGAAACTGCGGAATAGCTAAGATTATCGGGAGGGCAACAGAGACTAACTGAGAACGAGAACAGGAGTCTCGGCCATCTGCTCGCAAGGAACGAGCGGTCACAGCCTCGCTTTCCGCTTGGGCTTCTGCCTCCCCAGCTTAGGCTGAGGCAGCGCCTGACAAAGGGCTCGCGCCGGTGCCGCCGCCCTTCTCATCCGGGCATTCAGGTCCTTGCGGAGAGGGAGGGGGAAGGGCAGAGAGGGAGGGGAAGGAGCAAGGGGGGCGCGCGCTTGGAGCCGAGGCCGTTTCCAGGGCTGCGGGCCTGCGGCCCAACGGACGGAGGCCGAAGAGGACCCGCAGAGGTGGCGGCGGCCGGGGGCAGGAGAATGGTGCAGAAGGAGAGCCAAGCGGCGCTGGAGGAGCGGGAGAGCGAGCTCAGCTCCAGCCCTGCCTCTTCCGCGGGGGCATCGTTGGAGCCACCGGCAGCTCCGGCCCCTGGAGAAGACAACCCAACCGGGGCCGGGGGAGCGGCAGTGGCCGGGGCGGCAGGAGGTGCTCGGAGGTTCCTATGTGGCGTGGTGGAAGGTGAGCGCTCTGGCGCGGGCTGGACTGGAGCGGCCTCCTTCCCGTCCCGCCGCAGTACTAACACATTCTCTCCTGGGGGTGAGGGTGGCGGTGCTTTCAGGGGGCTCTAAAAGGCTGTTAACCCTTTGGTCTGAAATTTGGCCCTGCTAAAACGAGGGGAGAGACGAGACGGTGGGCGAGTTTCTCCTCACGTCCTTAAATTGCGTCGAATTCTCTGGCTGCTAACTGGCCTGACCGCACCCGTCTTGGGCTTGGAGCCAGGCTGACTCCTGAGGAGGCGGTGGTAAGGAGTCTAGTGTTATATTAGACTGTGAGTTATACTTCTTTGTACCTTGGGATCTTATTTCCTAGGGATGCCTGCGTTCGAATGAAAAAAAAATGTGTATATGGCTTCTGTTCCCACCCTTTGGGGAAAAATCTGCCCACACAGACGTTGCTGCTTGTACTCTTGGAGTGAAGAGAAGCACACACAGCCTACACAGCATTACAAGTGCCTTTCTGCTTAGAATTTTTTTTTTTTTTTTTTTTGCTGGCCAGCCTCCCTGCTCCCCCTTAAAGATTCATTTGCAGCCTAGAAAATTACCCTCTTTCCCAACTACTGTACTTTGCCCTTGAGGGATGAAGCTTTGACTTTAGTCACAGATTCTCAAAGTATCAGAGATATGGAATTTGAATTTAGTGACTGCAGATGAGGTTTTAAAATGCCTTTCTCGCCGTCTCCTTTCCCATTTACAGTTGATGGAATGATGGACTTTTTTGGTAGCGAGGGAAAATTACCGAAAGATTGTATCACACTTTCTGGATAGGAATGTTACATATTCCACCCTGCATTTTATTGAAGCACGAATCAGTTACATTATTGCTCTTTTCCTCAAGTACAGCATATATTTGAACTGTCTGGAAGTATTTAGGCTGACCCAGGGTTTCCTAGATGTCTTATTAGTTCTTGCCTTCTGTCCTTAATGGTGTGGATAGGAGTATAAAATTAGTCTTTGTAAAAAACAAAAAAGGTATGGAAAAAGTAAAGAAGGGTTGCCCTCTTGGTTGAGAGCATTAGCTTTTCCGTTGTCACCATATAGAGAGTATTCTTTTTAAAAGATAGGTGATGGTCATGGTATTTTGGATAATGTTTAATTGTAGGGGAGAACAGACTATTGCAATTGCAGTAAATTATGAAGAATTCAGCCAAGTTAACTGTCCTGCAGAATTTGGGGGAAGACAGCATGGAAAACTATTTACTGTATGAAATGTTTATGAAAACATGATTGCTTTGTGTGACTTATATGTTAGTGTATCCATTGGGCTTGTTTGAGTGCAGGGATATTTTAGAAAAAGAATCTGTATTTTGTTACCAAAGATCACTGGGTGCAGGGTTGAGGAATGCTGGGGGATATAGAAATTTCAGAGATAGACTGCAGTGAGTCTAAGGAAAGTTGCTAGTCCATTACAACTTTAGTAATTAAAGGAGAAAGGTTATTGTGGTTTAAATTGATTTGTTTTGAATAGTAGTAAAAAACTCTTCGTATGTTAAGAATAAAGTTGTCCTCAATTCTCATTTCTGTGGTCCCTCCTCCCTCCCATTACCATGTATATACTTTTTTGGTGGCTGAACAGCCGAGCCAGCACTGATTTTTTTTTGGAGCTAATTGGTTGGCACCAGTCCTAAAATGAATGAGTACAGGGATACTGTAGTTACTGCCAGGATTTCTTTTTTTGTTTTCTTTCCCTCACAAACCTTTATTGGTTTTAATTCGTGCGTTAATGGCATTGCTTCCTTTTTGTGGTGCCAGTCAACCAAAACCGTGAACCTGAGTCTCAAAGAGCCAAGGTAGGGTCTCTAAAGATTAAAATGCTTAAGTTAGACGTCTGAAAAATCTTTCTTTTTTATACTGGAACAACTCTAAAGGGATGTTTAATGCCTACTCCTGTAAGTGAAAAATGATAATGCTAAAGTGCTGTTGGAAAGCTAAAGACTTGTGTAAATTTTACCAAATTAAGAATTTTTTATATTCCTGTGAGAGGGTAACATTGGATTGTCAACGTTGAAAGTGTTGCAGTTACATACACTGGTATGCAATGAATTTTTCTTTGGTCTGTCATTGTCCTTTTGTGGTGCAGGGGAATAGTTTTGCCTCAAGGTTGGAACTGAAATTTCCGATCTAGATTAATCTCTTACATAGGCTGTGTGTGTTTGTGTAGAGCATTTTGTGTTCAGAATGCTTTTATTAACCATCTTCATGGTACTCCTGAGAGGTTGTCCTTACCTTTTGGACATGATTAGACTAAGACAGGTGGAAAGTAAAGGTTAGGCAAGATGTAAGGCGTTTGTGGTTCAAGCTGTGATTAGCACATTAGGGAGCTCCGAATACCAGTTTGTGCTTATTTGACAATTTAGGTCATCAGTCTGCAAGTTTGTTTTCTGCAGTGTGCATAACTAGTGCTTTGCCCCCTTGTGGGGCACTTTGGGGCAAGTCAGTCACATTCTTGAATTTTAATTTGTTCAAAGCTTTGCTCTGTAATTAAGATTGCTTGAGAGTTTGCTGTTTGGGCCATTTTATCTACCCTCACCCCTCTAAAAGCAGTTTTACCCTCTCCTAGGTAGTAATTATTAGCAGTTTGGCTTCCTTTGCTTCCCTTCCCCATTGTAAGATTGAGATACTCTCACTCTGTTGCCTGGCCTCTAGAGTGCAGTGGCATTATCATGGCTCGCTGCAACCTCAAACTCCTGGGCTCAAATGATCCTCTTGCCTTAGACTCACAGTGGCTAGGACTACAGGCCTGGGCCACTATGCACAGGTGCTAATTTTTTTTTTATTTTTTTATTTTTTTGTAGAGATGAGGTCTTGCTGTGTTGCTCAGGCTGGTCTCCAGCTTCTGGCCTCAAGCAATACTCCCACCTTGGCCTCCCAAAGTGGTGGGCTTACAGGCGTGAGCCACCGTGCCCAGCCTTATTTAATCTTTATTGATAGTGAAAAAAGATGATAGGTTTAACTGTTTTTAAACAACTGTCACATAAATAACAAATAATCATGGTAGAAAAATAAGAAAATTTACCTAAGCAAAACGGGAATGAAATTCATCACCCAGAAATAAAGAAACCTTAATGTTTTACTAAGTATCCTTCAGATTTTGGTGTATTGTACACATTTTTTACAAAATGGGATTGTATTGTGTGTTTTGTAACCTGCTTTTCTCAATAAAGCTTACCACATTTTAAAACTGAAAATAATTTCATTCTTACTTTGAATCCAGGATTTTATGGAAGACCTTGGGTTATGGAACAGAGAAAAGAACTCTTTAGAAGGTAAATTTTTGTTATACAAAGGAGAGAGGAGAATCTTGAACCCTTAACATTTCCTTTTGTTTGGAGAAATACTAACAAACTGAATAGCCTGGGTACAGTTTGTTGATTTCTCAATTGCAGAAGTTACTTTACCTTCGTCCTTTACTACTTCTTCACCTAAGCCAGTGGTTTTCAAACTTTTCCTGGGGAAGCTGAATAGGTTTTGGGCTTTGCCTGCCTCACCCAGAGCTGTCATGTTTTTACTTAAGATTGTTAATTTGTTGATATATGTTATAATATTTAATTTTTAAAAATTACAAAAAGGTTAAAAAGTACTATCCCAAAATATTACTAGCTTTGTATGAGATGGAAATGCTCTCAGAAGAGGGGAAAAAATGGAGATCTACAGCCTGTAAATGTTGTCTGTTTTACATGTTTAATTTTCTTTTCC